GTTTGGAAGATTGAGACAGACCTGGCTTAGCGGCTTTGTGACCCTGAAAAGAGGCTCAACCTCTCCGAGCTTCCATCTCCCACTTGCAAAGCAGGGCTCCCTAATAGTTGTAGGTGGTAACCACGGGCTGGCCGTGCAGCCAGCTCCCCATGCCAGGCTCCGGGTGAGTACTGTTTGGAAGATTCAGACAGACCTGGCTTAGTGGCTTTGTGACCCTGAAAAGAGGCTTAACCTCTCCGAGCTTCCATCTCCCACTTGCAAAGCAGGGCTCCCTAATAGTTGTAGGTGGTAACCACGGGCTGGCCGTGCAGCCAGCTCCCCATGCCAGGCTCCGGGTGACACTTGGCGTGCATTAGACCTCATTATTCCTCACCACAGCTCTCGAGGTAGGTACGGCCATTCCCCATTGGACAGATGGGGAAAGTGAGGCTCAAAGAGGCGAGGTAAGTTACCCAAGCACAATTTGAGCAGAATTGCGATGCGATCTGGGTCTGTCTTTCTCCACCGATTTCAGGCTCCTGAAAATCCACAGGACTGCTTGCTGGCTTCCCTCCTCCCCTCCTTCTGAGATGGTGGCAAAGGAGGGAAGGGACAGTCAAGACAGAAGGCAGGTTCACAGAAGCCTAAACACGTGGGCACTACTGGAGGTGCTTGGCATTCCTCCTTGTTTCATGCAGGCTGCATTTCACCACTCAGGACTCCGGGACTCTGACGGCAGAGACCCATGAAGGCAAAGACCAGGGCATCTGCTTCCCCGGGCGGGAAGCACAGATGCTTGGCAGACTGCTGGGCGCAGTGCAACTGTGAAGGCTCAGGGGTCTGGGGGAAGGGGACAGTGGCGATGAGTAGGGACAGGACAAGTCCACAAGCAAACGAGCCAAGGTGCCGTGGGCTAGAGAGAGATAAGCGGAGCCCTGTGGGAGCAGAGGAGGGAGCGGGGAGGGCGGCTTCCTCAGAGGGTCATCTACTAACACCATCATGTACCATGTCCTGTGTTGGGCTCTTTGACTTCATCTTATTTAATTCTCACAAGAGAGGAAACCAAGCTCAAAGTCAACGCCCTTGAAAAGCTGCTGAGCTGGGATGCAAATCCAGATCTGTCTGGGTCTGACACCCATGCCCTGTCCTCCTTACAGGCCGCCATCTGAGGGGACGCCCACTCGGGTCTCAAAGAATGACGTCCAGAATAAATGAATCACTTTCAGAGAAAAGTGAAAAAACACACTCTCCCAAAATCTCACATCATAACCACCCGGAAAAGCAAACATGAAGGTCACCGGGGACACAAGCGGCCTGAGAAGAGCCACTGGAGCAAATGTCAGCTGCTCCCACACCTGGTGTCCTGCTCTCTCCTCCGGCAGGACAACGAGAGTCCAGAGCTGCTGCTGCTGGTTCCTTCCGGGGAGGCCTCTCACCTTCAGGGTCTTCAGGGCGGCTTCACTCTTTGAGTCTCAGTTTTGCTTTTTATACTGCAAGACAGAGAGGTCATTAGAAGCGGGTGAGGAAAGCCAATGCGAGAGGGAGGACCAGGGAAAGGCTGAGAACGGTGGTCATCTAGGCCTCAGATGCCCGCCACAGGGGCTTCTTGAAAGTGGGGGAACCCAGGCTGCTGAATCTAGCTGGTGCCTGGATCTCCCCTTTCTTCTTTAGTGGAAAAGGTAGCTGATGGGGTTGGAAGGAAGGATAAGAAAGACACTGGGGAACTAGAATTAAACACAGTGGCATGTCCATCGTTCCCTTTAAGATGAGCCTTGTTTGGAGGGAGGAAATGCCTCAGGTAGAGGCGGAACCTCAAAAGCCATCTAGTCCAATCACTGAGTTTAAAAAAATGAATCCTGGGCGCAATAACTGGAGTTTCTGACTTAGAAGGACAGAGGAGTAGGGCATGTTTTCGCTCTCTAGGTTTTCTAACCAAAGTGTAAGGACCAGCAAGCCAGTCTGTGTTACTGACTCTCTTTCTCCACCAAAACAGACACTTGAACGTTTCCTCACTAACCTGCCTCAGTGGGAATATCTGCAGAGAGAGAGCTCACTACCACCCCCAAGGCAGCTCTTTCTTCACAACACTGTTGTCAGCTTTGTCATATTGTTTCCAGTAAGACTGCTCTCTTCCTTCTTCCTGCTGTGCCATCTCACTCTCCCACTGATGTTTCTCTCTCCCTCCCCCTTTCTCTCCCCCCCACCCGCCAATCTTCCCCTCTCTAAAAATCAAGGGGAAAAAATATCCTCGGGTGAGAATTAACAAAAAAAGAAATTTGTCTTTAGGGATTGAGGGTGTCCCCCTGCCCCCTCAAACACAACAAACACACAAATACAATCAGAAGGGCATCTACCATCACCTTTTGGCTCCTAGAGGTGGGGAGCAGCGAGACTGTTCTCAACGTGGAGCAGAAGCGACCCCTGCTGGTCACAGAGATTACAGCTCACAGGTATAGGTAGGAGCCAAGCACTTACTTTGTTCATGATCCAGTCAGCATCCTCAATGGCTCTTTTAATAATCTGCTGGATTCTCTCAGGATTGTCTTCATCTGAATGAACCCGGAAACTCTGAAAGTTTAAGCATAAAAAAAAGATGGTGGCAAAATTCACAGGACCAGCAGCTTCAGAGCACCAGTCACAGGCCAGGCACACTGTGGGCACTTTATACTCAGCATCTCTCTTACCCTCCATAAGAGTTATGATTCCACATAGAGATGAGGAGAACTGCTGCTAGGCCAGTGGTTCTCAACCTTCTGGCCCTTTAAATACAGTTCCTCATGTTGTGACCCAACCATAAAATTATTTTCGTTGCTACTTCATAACTGTAATGTTGCTACTATTAGGAATCATAATGTAAATATCTGATATGCAGGATGGTCTTAGGCAACCCCTGTGAAAGGGTCTTTTGACCGCCAAAGGGGTCACAACCCACAGGTTGAGAACCGCTGTGCTAAGCAATGGTGTCAGCATTTGAATTCTGGTCCATTCAACTTCATAGCACATACTCTTGCCAGCAGGGCAGTTATGAAATGGAAGACTGGTCCCTAAGTTACCACCCAAATCAAGCTGGACCCAAAGGTTACCAGGTCGGGGGGAGGGTGATGGAGGGCCTAAGGAAATTTCCATCACTGTTTCTTTGCTCCTCCCAGGAAGCTGCTTTCACTAGGGGGAGAGGTCTGCAGGGCTTCACAGCCGGGACAGCCGGGAAGAACAGGGCTTCTCCGGCCCATGCGGAAAGCCAAGCAGAGGAGGAAGGGGCCTGGGAGGGTGGTGGGCAAATCCAGCCAAGCCCAGTGCAGAGCCCAGGCTGCTGTTTGCTTCTGGCCGGATGTTCACCCTCGAGGAGCAACGTGAGATTCAGGTTCGTTCAGGACACTCGGCCACTGGTGCCTCCTCTGCCCTGTTGCTCTCGACCCCACACACCCTCCTTGTCTTTAGGAGCATCCCAAGTGCTCACCTCTGGGAAGTCCTCCCCGACTCCCTCACACAACTAACTACTCCCTTCTCCGTGTTTCCACAGCCCTCTGTTGCTTCCTCTATCATTTCCAGTTTCCACATTATATTTGTATTAATTTTACTCTTTAACTTTTTATTTGGAAATCATTTCTAACCTGTAGAAAAACTGCAAGAATAATACAAGAGAATTGCCTTCAGAATCACCAGGTGTTAACATTTTGCCACATTGGCTTCACTATTCTCTCTTCATGTGTTTGCATTCAACTCTTGGGAGCACTTAAAAGTTACAGACAAGCCCTTCACCCCCAAACACTTGGGTGTGTATTTCCTAACAACAAGGGCATTCTCTTAATAACAACAGTACTCAAATTCAGAACATTTAACATGGATACAGTACTAGTGTATCTATCTAATTCACAGCCCAAATGCCAACTTCATGAATTTCCCCCAACAATGTCCTTTATAAGACTTGTTTCTCTGGTCCAGGATCCCATCTGGAATCATGCGTTACATTTCGCAGTCACACCTGTAAACCAGAGCAGCCCTGGTGCCTTCCTCTCTTTCCCGACATCGATGTGTTTGACAAGAACAGGCCAGTTATGTGGTGGACGGTCCCTCGGTCTGGCTTACCCGATGTTTGCTCATGGTTAAAGTCAGGTGTGCTTTGTCGACAGAGACCTCTGTCACAATGAGGATGTGCCTATTTTAATTATCCATTTGGCTGCCTATTTCAAGGCTTGGCACAGAGCTGGGGGGCTGGATGGCACATCCATCCTCTGTTTCCTCAACAAAAACCAGAGAGAAGAGCTGAGCTGCCCAGCACTGATACCCAGTGGCTCTTACTAAGCTGCCATCCGCACGGCCTGAAAGACCATCCCTGCCCCTGTTCCTGCCCCTGACCCCTGACCCTCTGATAGGCCCTCCATCAGAGGAATCTCCCCACCCCCAGGCCCAGCATCCCCTGTTCCCACCTGCCTGACAGCGTGTCTGTAATGCTCCTGGATGCCCTTGGTGGGCAGCTGTCGGCAACAGCGCAGCAGGTATCGGTAGAGCTGCAGAGGCGTCTGGACCAGCTCTGCCCCCGGGAGCGGGGCCATCTGCAAGGCTGTCTGTCCCTGGAAAACACAGAGCATCACGTCTAAGGCATCAAGCCAATGCCCGGTCCTGGCCCCCGGGTTCCAGCGCTCTGTGAAGGAGGCTTGATAACAGCACAGAGGCCAGGTCGCGGTTACACCACACCCCTCGGAACCCAGACCCTGAGCTCTGGCTGTGCATTCAGTCTTGCAGGCGTCTCAGCCCAGAGCAGGCGACAAGGAACACAAGTGAGATGTTCAGCCTCATCTTCTTTCTGAACGCCAACTCCAGGTGGCGGGCAAGGAGGAGTCACTGACAGGTAGAGGAGGAGAGAGAAGCAGGAAAATCTCGCGTCACAATTGCTGAGGAATCATCTAACCTCAAGCAACAGAGGGCAGGATGAGAGGTTCGAGCCTCGCTACTCAAAGGGTAGCCGGAAGCATCGACATCACCTGAGAGCTTGTTAGAAATGCAGATTCTCAGGCTCCGCCTCAGATCTGCTAGACAGAACCTGCGTTGTAACAAGATGTCCAGGAGATTCATATGCAGTTAAAGTCTGAGAAACACGATTCCAGAGGACTCTGCGTAAAGAAGCAGCTACATGAAAAGTTGTCATGATACACGTGATTTCACTTTCCTGTATGTTAGAAATAGGAATAATAATGAGCTCTTGCTCTGGCAGGCTGGCTCACTTGGTTAAAGTGTTGCCCCATACACCAAAAGGTGGCAGGTTCAATTCCCAGTCAGGGCACATAAGTGGGTTCGATCCCCAGTCAAGGCACATACAGGAAGCTACCGATCAATGTTTCTGTTTCTTCTTTTTCCCTCTCTCTCGTCCTCTCTCTCTCATCAATAAACATATCCTCAGATGAGGATTAATTCCGTCCTATTCGCTTTTTGTGTGATTAATGCACACATTTTTTAAAAATCAAGCACCAAAAAAAGAAAAGAAAGAAAAAATCAGCACAGAGAGGTCTGATAAGGATAGAGCTGGGATTTGAACCCAGACAGGTTCCAGAGCCCACAGCTTCTTTTTATTAAACCTTTAGAGCTTTATTGATATGTAATTAACATACAATCGACATATTTAAAGTGTACACTTTGATAAATTTCGACATATGTATACACCTAAGAAACCATCATCAAAAGCAAGAATGCACATCTCCATCACCCACACAAATTTCCTGCAGCCTCGTTGTAATCCCTCCTCCTGCCCTCGCCACTCCCCCATCCCAAAGCAAGCTCTGCTTTCTGTCACTACAGATTAGTTTGCATTTTCCTGAGTTTTACATAAAAGGAATCATACGTCATGTATTCCTTTGTGTCTGCAGAACCCATATTTTTAAGCTCTGTATAATCATGTCTCTCTCCAAAGAACCTGTAACTCTAATTTGGCCTGTTATTTTTTGAAGAAGGAAACTCAACTAAGAGCACAGATTCCAGCCCCCCCCTACCCCTCCAATAATAGAATCTAGAACATAAGGATTTGTTAAGCTTCCATTAAGTGCCTCCCAGCCCATAACAGTACCTCCTCTATGCTCACTGCACTGTAGGCTCCTGCCTGGACCTCTGCCACAGCATCTTGCCTGTGTTCCTGCCTCCGCCCGTCATGTCCCAGTCTCCTCCACACTGAGAAGGTCTGCAAGGACCTTCTCCCAGATCCCCCAAAACCACAAATCAGTCACCTCTTGGTGCCTTTGCACATGCAGCTGCCTGAGCCTGGAGCGCCCTTCCCCTCTCCATGTGAGGAACTCATGTTTATCCTGCCAGGCCCAGCTCGATGTCACTTCTTCTGGGAAGCCCTTCCTGACTGTCCCTCCGGTGGGGCGGGGTTGGGGGGAAGCAGTACCCTGTTTATGGAGCTGGTACAGTGCTTCCCACATTGCCAGGATTCATGCGCTGCCAGGCCTGGGCAGCCTGGCCCAGGCCCCAGTGCTTCGTGCCCTGTTTACTGAACTGGACTGAATGGGATCTGTTATCTCCTCTGTCCAGATTTCCCCTCTGTGACAGAGAAGCTCACTATGCTCCAAATGAAGGAGCTAAAAGACCAAGATTAAGTGACTGGCCTTGGTTTTCAATCTATCAGAGGTCCTTAAACTGAGAAAAGAAACTCATTAAGTAGCTGGTTTCAGAGGCTCCTTCATTCCATTTCCAGCATATCTTCCTGGCAACAAAAAATGTCCATCTCCACAGCTAAGTTTCCCATTTGCTCCTGGCTCTGACTCTGGGGTAGGTAGGAGGTTGTCTGCCCCCACCACCCACCTGGTAACAGCCCCAGATGTGTGGCTGGTGATCCTGTGAGGCCAGGTCTCAGCCCACAAGGTCTGGGTGGAGCTCCACTCCAAGTCTGGCCAATCAGAGACCTGCATCCACGTGGTGGCAGGGATTGGTTCACAGCTGGGCACATGAAGGAAGCTGAGTGAGTTTCAACACGTCTACAGGAGTGACTAGACCTGATGGTTAGAGGACTCACCCTCTCTCAGGGAAGCCATCTTGCCTCCTCTTGAAGCCAGAGACTGAAGCCACAAAAGGCAGAGCTGAGAACCAAGTCTGAAGAATTCATTTGAGCCCTAAAACCATTCACCTGAAGGCAGTCCCACCCCTAGACTTTGCAATGATCCAAGACAATTAATCCCATTTGCCACAGCAGGGTGGGTTTGTTTTGTCACTTGCAGCCAAAAGAGTTGAAACGGATCGAAAAATCTTAATCTCCCAAATTCTACTTCCATGATGAGCTGTGATGGTTCCAGCTCTAAGGAAGAGTGCAAACAAGGCGGGGTTCCCCAAGGTCCTCATGCCCCAAATATCAACCTGCCAGTCTCACCAGCCACACTTCTGTCCAACACACTGAGGGGAACCCCATTCAATGATGGCAAAGACCTTCAAGTACCACCAGAGAGGACATACCACTGAAGCCTGCAACCTGATGGGCAGATTCCACTGGCAGGCTTCCCCAAACTATATAAAGTGCTAATCAAATATTGTAAAATGCTAGTGGTGTAACAGATGGTTACCAGCTGCAGTCTTCAAAATTAACATTTGGAAAGAGCACAGCTTAGTTTCATTACTTAAAAACCCAAGCAATACTTAGAAACCAACCCAGCAAGTGTGGGCGGGAGACTATTTTCAGCTCAATTATCATTCTCAGTCCTTCCCAGTAATAACTGGCAGAGAAGGCATGTGTGGGTCCACTCAGAAGAGTTAAACTAGAAATGTCTCAATTTAATTTAAAGTGTGGGTTTGCTATGGTTTAAGGGGCAGTGAACCTCACAGCATCATTGCTAAAACTGTAGTCAAACCCCGTGGCCCTGGGAATGCTCGCTTGGCACATCCTTACTCCTTGGACTTGACCCCTCCACCTGGGCTCCCTGCCTCTGTGAAAACATCACCATCTTCCTACCAGTGGTCAGCAAACTCATTAGTCAACAGAGCCAAATATCAATAGTACAACGATTGAAATTTCTTTTGAGAGCCAAATTTTTTAAACTTAAACTATATAGGTAGGTACACTGTTATTAACTTAATTAGGGTACTCCTAAGGCTTAGGAAGAGCCACACTCAAGGGGCCAAAGAGCCGCATGTGGCTCGCGAGCCGCAGTTTGCCGACCACGGTCCTAGGCAACCAAACCCAAACCATCACAGAACCAGACTCCTCCTCCTCCTCCTTCTACTCCTCTGTCACTGGTCTCTGAGTCCTTCCAAATCCTACACCTAAATGCCCCTCAAATCTGTCCCCTCCTATTTCCATTGTAAGAGCCTTGGTTAAGGCTCGTATCTTAGCTCACAGGGACAACTCCCAGAGTTCCCAGCAGATCTCCCCGTCTTCCGAGCTATTCTTCACTCAACAGCCAGAGTGAATCTATCCAAATGTGACCGTCAGCATGTCGCGTTCCTGCCTAAAACCCCTAACAGCCTCCTTTACCCCCCCTATCACTCCTGACAACTTTCCCCAAAATGTAGGACAAACATGCAATTATTTTAAGCAGTATAGGGATCAACGTCTTTTTATTGTAATGATTTTATGTTTCTTTTCATGTGTAATGAGAAAAATCCCACAATTTCATAAGTATTATGGCAAAGTGAGACTGGGAGAGCTTTGTGGAGTTCATTGATTCAAGTTATATACATCTTTTTTCCTTTTAAATCAAACAAAAGATCAGGTGAAATTTATTTAGCTCTTTCCCAACTCAGAACTGAGTTCTGGTTAGTCATCCTGTCCCCTTTCATGAATTAGAAAGTTATAAAAACACCTCAGGGAGTGCGGCTTGCCTCACAGTAGGCTCTCAGGAAACGGTGTTAACTGAATGAACAGAAAAACAGTCCCATGTAGGCAGTCTTTCAAAACCAGAATATCGAAGAGCTGAGAGCCACCTTCTCCCATCCAGTGTGAAGAAATCTCTCCTCCACATCCTTGGCAGCCCGAGCTGTCAGAAATTCCTTTTGGTTCTGGGCTAAAGTCTGCTCTGAAAAATTCTCCATATTAGTCTGACCTCTGTCTTTTGGGGCTAAAGTCTCTGGTGACCTACCCCCAAGTCCAGTCTTTCATTATTTAGTCAATTGCCCCAGCCATTCAGTAGTTTCTTTTCCAAGATAACCATCCTGCTATGACCTCCCAGTGCTTCTCCAACCCACTCTGGACACACACACACACCCTCATTATTGATCCCAGCCTCAAAATCACGGTTTGCTTGTGTTCTGACCAGCTCTGCGGGCACTGGTACCTGCTACGACATGGGTGAACCTCGAAAACATGCCTCGGATGGCAATGTCACCTTTCTACTTGGGAATTTAAGGAATGCAACTTAGCATTCTCGGTTTTAGCTTACCTGGCCCTGGCATTCAGCTGGAAGGTACCTTTATTTCCATGAACTATTCTTTTTTTTGTTTTCCATGAACTATTCTTAAGTCTCTTTCCCCATCTTTACTAGTTCTGTCCAGAGTCACTGGGGTAGGCCACAATCTCTGGGGTGCCTGATCCTGTCTGTTATCCAATTCAACTCAATTCAGCACAACAATAGCACAATCACATACCAGGTACAAATGGGGTACAAAGAGAGAGATTAAAGCCAGCAAGCTGTGTCAGTCACACATACACCGCCATTCAGAGCAGCTAATACGTGTGTGGTTCTGGACTCAGCCCTTTGACCAAAGATGAAAGGCCTGACATTTACGGATGGATAAACAAAACATGGTACCTTCATACAATGGATTGTTTTATAATTAAAAAGAAATGAACTACTGATACATGCTACAACATGGGTGAACCTTGAAAACATTACTCTAGGTGAAAAAAGCTAATATCAAGTATTGTATGATTCCATTTATGCGAAATGTGCAGAATAGGCAAATCTATAGAGACACAAAATAGCTCAGTGCTGGCTAGGGCTGGAGGGAAGGGGTGGTTGGGGTGATGAGAGCTAAAAGAGGAGTTGCTCTGGGAGTCATGAAAATGTTCCAAAACTGACTATGGTGATGGATGATGCTCCCATCTGTGAATGTACTAAAGGACATTCAATTGTGCGTTTTAAATGGGCGAGTTGTATGCAATGTAAAAGCGAACAAAAGATTAGTCTTGAGGGCTAAGGGGCCTCAGCCACGGAGTGATCTGAT